GGTCTGCGCGACCAGATTCAAACCAAGCAATCCAGCCAGCAACCAGATTTCAAGCTGCAAGGGTACAGTTGCTGGAGGCGGGCTGAATTCTGCACGATGCATTTCAGGATGCGGCTGATGAAGCGGAGTTCCTCCTGTACCTGTCCGTACGAGGTCAGTCAAAATCATGAGCTGCAAAGCCCTGTAGCCTGAATAGAGCATCGGCAGGAATAGATGTCAAAAATGTCAAGCTCTTAGTACGAACCAGATGGCATGCGACCACATGATCTATTCCAGCGTAACTGTGCGGTGATTTACGAGAGGTCAAGCTGTTCTTCTATATGCTGGGCTCAATGCACAAGGCACATTGTCTTGGCAGAGGTTGATCTGTAGCATTCTTCATGCATAGCGCTATTTGGCAGAACTCCGTGGTTGACTTGAAATCCTTGGTGAAGGCTTGCGTTTGAACCTTACTGGTTGAAACTAGATGGGGCTGGACGAGGTGTTTTAGTCAGCTGTCACGCTCGCATGAAGCTACCGAGGTTCGCATGAAAGGCTTTGCCACAAGCATCGACCTGCAGTCGGTGTCATTCGAAGCGAAGCTCATGCTTCCGGGCTGCAGGGAGAATTCCGTGCAAAGGGCCGGACGCCGTCATTCTGCGTGGCTGGTTCTGCGTCAGGCATTCGCAGACGAAGGATCTCTTCAAGGTGCTTCGGCTTCAGGTGTGAACAGGTGTATGCTGTGTTCCTTCGTTTCGTTGGCGTATCGTCGGTGCTGGGTCTGCTATGCTCCGCTCTTCAAGGAATGTCATGGGGCCCGAATTACCCTAACCTCCTGCCCATAGATGAAGCGCATGGGTTGAGCGCTCGCGTCAAGATATTTGCCGACAATCAACTTTTAGGGAAGTGCTCGCATGGCAGCATTGAGATTTTTGCTGCAATCCTGAGACAACTGAGGCTAAATTTCCGAGCGGTTTCCGTTTTAAACGGGTGGACAGACCTGCCGCATCAAAATGGTAGGGGTCCAGGCGGTGACCACTCATCGTTTCTTTCGGATTCTTTCGTGTCTGCAAATCGTCCGCAAAGCATCCGCAAGTGTTCGCGATTGTCGCAACCCGAACCCGCTGGAGGCCTCGTGGGTCGCGATCCCTGTAACTGGGCCGCGATCCCTGTATCTGTTATCACTTTTGAAATTCGCGTGTCAAACGTGACGTCAGCCATAGGGATAAGACGCGTCGGGGTCGCTGTCCTCGTATCTGGGGTCGCTTTTGCGGCCTCGTTGTGTTGTCGCTCGTCAAAAGCGTAACAGTCACAGGGATGGGACGTGTCGGGGTCACCTTCCTTGTGTCTTTGGTCCCTCTTGCAGCCTCGTTGCGTCGTCGCTTGTCAAAAGTGTCAACAGTCACAGGGATGGGACATGTCGGGGTCGCCTTCCTCGTGTCTGTGGTCACTCTTGCAGCCTCGTCGCATCGCCGCTTGTCAAATGTGTCAGCAGTCAGAGGGATGGGACGTGTCAGGGTCACCTTCCTCGTATCGGTGGTCGCTTTTGGAGTCTCTTGTCGTTCACTATGTCGTCGTGCCCGTCGTGTTGGTGTCGTGTTCGTGTTCTCGTGTCGTGTGTCATGTCCTTTTTGTGTGTGCCTTGTGTCGCGTCTTTCTGTTGGTGTCTAAACGTCGTGTCGTGTGGTGTGTCATGTCCTTCTTGGTGCGTGCCTTGTGTCGTGTCTTTATCTTGGTGTCTTGTCCTCGGGTTCGTGCGTCGTGTCCGTCTGTCCGTCAGGTCAGAGGCGCGTCTTGGTGTGCTCCTGTCGAAGTTTGCGAATGTGTTTGGATTTGGGTTTGTGGCTCATAACAGTGTTTTTGCTTCACTCTGAGCAGCTAAACAGGGTGAGACGAAGCCAGTCCGTCCCGTACCCCTGAACCCTGAACCCTAAGACATCGTGCCTCTATCATGCGTGCCTCCACCCTCTAGCAACTCCACGCGGGCAGTTAGGGTGTCCAACATTCAGGTTTCATCTCTGTACCGTGACAGACAGGATTCAACGTGTGAGCCATAGCGAAAACCAGGGTTCTGAAGCGTTGAATGAAGCATTGAAGAAAGAGTTTGTCAAGCAAAATGGCCATAAGTAGATGCGATGTACTATTGTGAAGGATGCGTGCCAAGTAACTTGCGAACATTTCGCAAGTCGCTAAATAAAATTCAGAATGTTCCCCCAAGACGTCCAGGTGCTTGCAGGTCGATTGGATAACATCGAGGTGCGAATGTTATTAGGCAGACTTGTCGCTCCAAAGAAGTTCGAAAGTTTTGATACTAGTCTCTGATGTTGAAGGCTGCGATTTCTCTGTCGGGGGCGCGGTCAGAGGCCTGCCCAGCGCAAAGCAGCTGGGCGTGCCTTTTGTGTAAGATAGTGAGTTTTGCTTCTCTTGAAGCTTGTGCAGGGCTGGCGGCGGAGTGCCTGGACTCATCGTGGTTCTGAGGGGTTGTGAGGTTGTGACTTTCAGGGGTGCAGACGTGTTGCGATGCAGTGTTGCGCTCTTTGTGGGGTTGGCGTTTCGAGAGTTTTTGGTGCCTGTTGCTCGGACTAGGCAAAGGCGCTTCCGGTTCCGTGTCGGAGCCTGAGCATAAAGGCGTCATTCGGGCAAGTGATGACATGACTATTCCCATAAGGGACGCGCAGATGGAGGAGAGCCGAGTTTGAGCTCACAGGTTGTCCAAAGGACCCTGCTGTGAGCTGCCAAACATGTGCTTCTAGCGAGCACACTGGAAGCCATCAGCTCCTGCGATTATATTCTGCCCATCTGTCTGGAGTTTGCCTTCTTTTCCAAGTCGGTAAAGCTTGCTGGTGCTGCTTCTAGCTTCCAGTTTTCCCTTCTGAGCTTGCTCGGGCTTGCTCACAGGACGGTAGCCAGCGCGATTTATTCTGAAATGCGAGTGCATGTCAGCAAGCACTACCGTCCTGCGCAGGAGTCTCACCAGAGATGCAGGGCTAATGCTCTGGCTTCCCTCCAGAAGAGAGTGCTCAGCAAACCTTGGAAAACTACTTGTAAGGCCATGATTCTTGACTAAGGTTTGCGTGGCTGTTAACGTTGGAGACGCGCTGTCCAAGCGAAACGTTTTGGACAGAAGTGCGTCGGGCGATGGGATGTCTCCAGTGACATTGCCAAAGGCGGTAGAAATGGGCTCGCTTACGTCAGACCGTTAGGCGCTTGGAAGTTGGAAGCTAAGCTGAAGCAGCCATCTTGGCCAGACAATGCCAGACATGCACAGGGTTTTTGGTTTATATGGGGCAAGTCCCAACCTCAAAGCTTGTACCTGAAAACAGGCAGCATGGAATCACAAAGGATGACACTGATTCGGCAAGGGTTTTTGTTGTGCAGCGCAGGCGCAGTTAGCTAGAAGCCGGCCATCTCTGATCCTCTTGCCTGCATCGCGATGGAAGAAAGGATTTCAGAGCTCGGAGATGTTCTCTTATTCCAGAATTCTCGCCAGTTAAATGTCAGTCATGCGGCAAGTACTTCCTTCACCTCTCACTTGCAGTGGAGCACACCGCGCCAACTGGTTTCTGCGTCACAGAGAGAATCATCCAAGTCCGTCAGCTACAACTCGAGCGTCGCTGGAGGTTCTCTCAGATCCTTGCCGCGCCGATTAGAAACACTCGCACGGCTGCGGAGCGATGCTGAAGGCACCTCCCGCAGAGGCTCAAATCATGGCTCAGATGCTTTGTGCGAATCTTCCAGACCCAGTTCTGCCAGAGTGACTTGCCAGAAGTCCACATCTCTGAACGCTTCTAAATCCATTTCCGCATCCGTGTCCCCAAGATCAGCTGTACTTGAGAGTTCAACGACATCAACCGGACCAAGGCGGGCGGCGGTGCGCAGACCGTGAATATGCAGAGATGGGCATGTTCCATGCCTACGCGTGCCAACCTTGCCGGTAGGTCGTCGTGCCGGCCAAAGACATGCCGAGCCTCAGCCAAACATCACGGATGAACGGACAGTTGTGATTCAAAGTTTGGGGAGGCTGAAGTTAGCCCTTTGCATTTGAGACTCTGTTAAAGTTGTCGGCTGGGGTTTGGCTTCGCTCATCTGCGGAGCAAATTCGCTTCTGGTCTGCAGGTTTGCATGCAACTGTGTCACTTATCCTGGCATGACCCAGGATGTCATGCAGACATGGTGATGGATGCTCTAGCTAGCACGGGGGTAGCAGTTGTAAGGCTTTGCCAGCGGCATGGCGTCAATAGCTTGCAGAAATGACAGACTCAATCGTTGTCAATGACTTCGCATCACAGAGGGGCACATGATCGGCGCAGACCAGCAAACGCTTGCTGGAGGCGCAGGGCAGTCAAAATGACAAACAAAAACATGACAGCACAGCAAAACACAGACATGAAAACCCAGATATCTCAGACGGAGGCATTTTCAGCCACATGTTGAGAAGTGCAGGAGCACTTGATCGACAATCAGACTCCAACCAGCAGCACTGTGAAATCAGCTCTAACGTTGAACTTGAAATCAAACATTGGACTCTGCACGCACCGGAACGGTCAAAGTATAGGCACTCGTAGCGTGAGGTAAGATCCCGAGCTCAGTACGCCAAGTCGTGTGGAGGAGGTTTTGCCCCCTGCAGTTTCCATTTGTGCTGATTTGGTGTGTTTCAGGCCATAGCACTACAGTAGAGATTGCGCCCCCGGCCGGTGTCTTTGGGCTTCCGGTCCACGTCAAAGCCCAATGAACAGTAAAAGAATCGGTGATTCCTGAGGCCCTAATCCCCTTGACATGTCTCCTCGATTGCCCCTCATATGCAAGGAGTTTATCCGGATAAAATCCCGGAGATAAAGCCCCCTGTACTTCCAACCCCGATTAAGCACGTATAGAAAGTGGGGTGAGGTTTGCAGGTCGCCAGAGATCGCTTGTGCGCAGCAATTCGCTAGTCACGAGCAGGTTCGCTCAGGCAGGTACGCCGGGCGCAGGCTTAGGTGCTTGGGCATTAAGCAAGTGGGGCTTGGAGGTTTATGACTGACCTTCAGAAGCTGTTGACCTAGAAAGCTTCAATGCCAGAATTCTACCTCCAAAAGTTTGCATCGAGACCTTGCGCTGCTGTATGACCATGCAAGTGGCAAAAGCTGTCGGGTTGGACAAGGTGCCCTCAAAGTCCCTTTTCCAAGGATTCACAGCCAGCCAATCCTCTTGCCAAGGTATTGGAGGAGCCTACATACAGCACTGAAAAATACGTTGGGCCTCATCCCTGCAAAGAGACTGAAGAAGTCACAACTCGCACCCCAAGAAACCTTGCCAGAAGATGTTGACGGTCTTGTTTTGTGTCGGGTCTTCCTGCTTCCATAGCCGAATCCTCTGGCTGCAATTCCACGTTCGGGGGAGATCCTAAAAATGTGAGGGCAGTTCTAGCTCAGGGCAGGTCGCCAGGTCGCTGAGTCATGCAAGTGTAGATTGATGTGGACAGCTTCAGGATACGTGCTAGCAAGCTGAGCCTGAGGCCTGTCTGGCACAGCACACGTTGCTGGTCTGTTCTTGCACATGGTCTTGCCTTTTCCAAGGAAGCTCTCTGACAAGCGGGACAAGTAGTAACAGGCGAGCGCTTGACCCTCGATGCCCTCGAGTCTTTGTTCAACCCTCCTGCCAAGCACCCCCTTGGAGTGCAGAGAGCAGAGACGAGCGAGCGGTTAGTTGAGTGTACACGTTGATTGCGGAAGCACAGAGAGTGTGCACGTGACATCTGCTCGTCTCTTCGAACAGGGAATATGAGCGACTCTTCATCGAGGCCCGTCGCACAGCGTGAATTGCACTCTTTTGATGGCCAATGCTACGGGCCTAGGCAGTCAATTCTGAATTCGCAGGCTGCCGGTGCTCGCAGCTGGGCGAGACAAAGCCGGCTTAAGGGTCAAGTTTCGGCCGCAGCTTGTTGAAAAAGGGGCCTTCATTTAATTCAGCAGCTTCCTTACCCGCAACCGTTTGTCGTACGACCAGGGGCGTTCCAGGCAGCCCTCATGGAGGGGCACTGCAACAGCCTGCACATGGTATGTCACAGGTATGCACCTGTTAAATGCATGTGCTATTGGTACACGTGTTCCTGTCCCCAATGGGCGATCCTGCACGGGAGGTTTAGAGTTTAGAGCAACAAGCTGCAAGCCAGTCGTTTGACGTCATGCGTTCCATTGCTGCGGTTGCATGTTCCCATTCTTCAGAGACTCGATTTTATTCGCAGATTAACTGGCCACAGCTAAGGATGCGGATCACATACGGAACAACGTGGTGAAGGAAGCCTGTGCAACGCTGTTTCCTGCTCTTCCTGGCGTGTGGCATTCACAGCGAGTGAAAGACTTCTGGGTAAATGTTGTGCTGTACGTCCTCATTCTCGCAATGACCATATCGGCACATATCAGCTATTCTTACCATGGCATGGTTGTGACGACCTCATGCGACAGGCAAAAAGTTCACATTCTGTGAGCCTGCAGCCCTCCTTAGGACAATATTGTGCAGTTGTACGGCTACCCGCAGGGCAATTCAGACAGGCAGATGCTTGGCTTCAGCGAGGTGCCGGATGACTTCTCACATTTAGTGGCACTCCAACATTGATGTCGTGCCTGGTAAGCCTAGACTGCTGAAGACGTAGATATCGTGGCAGAGCACAGCCCGGCAAAGCTGAGGGCAGAGCCCAGGGCAGAGCCCAGGGCTCTTCGCTGTGCGGGGCTTCGTCCAGGAAAGCCAGTCCGCGGAATCGGAAGGGGGTTTCTTGCAGCAATTAGCGGTGAGCACAAGGCTGTTCATGGCAGCATTCTTGAGCAGAAGCAGCTTCGTTGACTTTGAGAACGGGTTCACGTGGAATAATTAGCCCCCTGCAACAAACGCATAGCCGCATAGCCGTAAAAAGTGCATTGCAAAAGCAGGCTATGCTCGCCCTCGCTGGTGTCTTGGATCCACTTGTGCCTTTTCCAGTGAGACTCCCGCTCTAGAAGTGCGCCCTCTTGCACAGGTAGGGATTATCAGGTGCAGCTGCGAGTAGCTGGCAGTTCCATGTGTCTAGGAAACAAAGCGTCAAGCGCATGCAAGACCTCTTCTGGCCAACACTGCACCGAAAGATACTTCTGGAGACGCGTTTAGTCTGCACGGGATGCTAAGGAAGCTGACAGGACGAAACTTTTCAGTGGCTATGCTGGCACACGTTCCTCTCAGAGCCAGGGACCACCTTTTGCTGTTGACAAGGACGATGCTTGAGAGTGCTTTCTTTTCGTGAAAGATCTGCATATCAGCCTTGGACAGTGCGTTTTCGAGAGACTTGACGTGCAGGCGCGAGCAACCCACTGATCCGACCCTGAAGTCCTTTGACAGTTGGAATGCCAACTGTTGCAGGCTGTTCAAAACACCTGCGCCCGTCACGGCAGCAAACGGGCGACACGCTGTCATGACACTTGTTCACTCTGAGCCCGCATGATTCTTGCGGTGTTCTCCTGACACTTGCAGTTGACTCTTGCTGCCTGCTCCGTGTAATTCCGTGTACAGATGTAGACCTTCCTGTGTTCGCTGACACTCATCAGCAGAGCAGTAGACAGACGCTGTAGGTTGAGATATGTTCAGACTGCATCTCTGCTCCTTTCGTAGTGACACAGTAAGTCAGGTTTGAAGGTTTTCCTCTGTAAACTGCTTGCAACAAAAAAAGTGTGACTGAAGCGAAAGGTAAAACGAAGAAATTGGAGCCTAATGCCTGTCCGCATGCTCGGCCTGGCCCCAGCCCATGCAGCAGCGAGCTGCTGTTTCTGTGGTTGCCGAGGCCTGTTCGAACCTATCCCAGAATTCCCTTTCATGTTGTTTCATGCAAAGCTATGTCCAGACAAATCTTACGATTCTTACGCGACATGATGCGCCCACCTGCTTCAGGATGTCTTTGCTGCGCACGTCCGCAGGGCAGCGCAGGCAGTGCTCCGTGTGGAGGCGAAGCGCCGCGCGGTGGCAAAGAAGGCTGCGAAACAGGCAGGTGGTTTACCAATATTTACGAATACAGAGCAGTGATGAAGAGATGCCTGCCTGCCTTCAGTCGGAGGGAGAGTGTATCGCAGCCGATGGCCCTAGCGTGCTCAAGCATTTGTTCTAACTCCAATTTAAGACGAAAGGTGTGCTTGGATATGCCTTAGGGCTCCTGGTCAAGCCATGAAGTGCTGTCTAGAGTCAGAGATACCAGCATCATGAGGCGGTACAGGATTCCAGATGAATCACATGAGCACATTGAGATTGGGCTGCTTGGGGAAGGCATGCTGCATGTCGACTAGATCCCGTGGATCGGGCTCGTCCGGCGGTTGCGCGTCTGCTTACATGCGACTGTCCGAAGAGATCACGGGGGAAGCAAACGAAACGAGCGACATCGGAAAATTAATGAATCGAGCATTGCAGGAGACCTGCGCAATCCCCAGGCAGACTAAGAGAAAATGCGATGGCAAAACTGGCAATGAGAGTTGCGGGGTGATGCAAAGCGCGGCAGGCAGAAACTGCTTGAGCTTGCATCGCAGCACGTAATGATACCCTACCTTTGCTCGGGGCATTTCCAAGACTTGAGTGCGTGCTACGCAAGAAAATGGGCTTCAGAACTGCTTCAGGCACCAATTCTGATTGATTTTTCTTTCGGTGCGCTTTGCCAGGTGCAGGCCTTGCTGCGTCAGCAAAGGCAATTGGAAGAGACTGGGCCCCAGAAACGCTCATACAGAAACGTTCGCTGTTCGATGTAGTTTCCCAGTTTTCCCAACTCGAAAGCAGAGGTGTTTGCATTGACTGTAACTGTTAAGAAACATGCTGACTTGCCCAGGTGACGTGGTGACAATGTAACAGCTCTGCCCTTCATGTAAGCATGTTGACGTGGTTGCAGCCATTTACATCAGGTGGTTCCGCTTATAAGTAAGGGTGGGAGGTTTGACTGACGAGCTGGTAGAGAAAATGAGGCAGCGCCTCAAGGACGAGCAGAGATGCGCACGCGCGGGCGCTGCTAGGATCGCCAAGGAGCCCCAACTACCTTCCGCTTTATCTTCTATAACTTTGGCTTTTCTGTCTGTAGCAGGAGATTGCCAAGTTCTGGAGTAGTTGCTGCCGAGCAGCTGACCATTTCGCTGCGATGCATGCTTGTATTGATTTAGCTCTGCTGATCTGCAAGCAGTGGCCAACTAAGTTCAGCGTGCCAGGTGCAGCAGCGGCATGCAGCCAAAACCCAGCAGCACTGGGAAAACATGCAGGCTTGAAGTAATTGTCTGGACAAGATGATGTTGTTCCCCTCTTGAACTATTGTTTTTCCTTGCTGGTGAATCTTGCTCCGCCGAAAAGGTGGCAGAAGTTCAACTTGTCGTGCTATCATGTTTACAGACATTTGTTGTTGTTGCATGCCAGACCTGCAGAGGCATTGGTATCTCGAAGCGAGGCGTTCTCCAGCGAGGTCACCACTCGACTGTTTGCGGAGCGACCGGAGCGGGACCGAAATTGAGAGCTTGTGCAGGGCTTGCGTGTCTGCGTATTTGTCCAGCAGGATAAGGACCTGGGTTTGGACGAACCCGCGCCCAAACTCCAAGACACTGAGGCCAAACAGAAGGCACCAGCTGAATTGACCGGGTTGGTTTGTTTCTTTGTCGCTATCCTTGCTGATGCTTTCTTTGCTCGCAGCTTCCGCAGCTTTGCCCCTGTTGGCAGAACAGTGGGCTATGCAGCTCAAGCACCTCGAGTCGAGGTGGTATGCATTTTGCAGCAGCATGTTCAAGATATGATTAGGTTGACCTTCAAATAGGCAGTTCAACGGTGACAGTGAAACCATCAACCGCAGCCATCACGTTTGAGAATAATTACCTTCACACTCCATGGTGAAGCCCTCAAAGCCTCGCGTTCTTTGCCTGCATGGACGTGGTCTGAACAGTGTCCCACGGCCAGCATTTAAAATCACACGGGTTGGTATCAAGAGCAAGGGGACAAGGTGGCGACAAGCTACCAGAGTTCGTGTGCAGAGTATTATTTCTCGGAAAACTCCTTCATCGTTTTGAATCATGCTGTAGCTGGAAATGGGTTCTTTGGCTGGGGTGTGGCTTACCTTCACGAGGCCACATCCCGGATGGCCTCGCAACAGTGGACCGATTGGTGTAATTAATTTGAAGCTGGAATTGCTTGGGTGCTCTTGGCTCTGGGAAAGTTCCCAGCCCCCGGTCTTTCTCTTGCAGTCCGGCTCTTGTGGAGAGGAATGCCAAGGAGCCGTGGCGGGAGTTCTTCTCTTGGATTGCGGCGGGTATTTGCAGAACAGGACGGGGGGAAACTACGCGAGAATGTTGTTTATGTTTATACATTGGGAGAACAACTCGTAAAAGAGTGGTGGAACGCCCAGCTGGAAGCGTGTTGGACTGTTCGAATTTCTAGAACTTGCATATGTCTTTTGATGTCAGGCCATGTGGTCGGTGTTGTGCGGAACCAGGGATAAGGTTGATGACAATGCTGACAAGGCGATTTGACGGTCATCAGTCTGGATGCCATACTGCACCCGCTGCACTCAAACCATCTTGTCTGGCTGCGACCACGAAAAAAAGAGCTACGCCGAACTTTAGCTCGTAAAGTACTTTGCTCGGGAACTCCTCGCATCTCCACTCCTCGTAAAAAAATTAAAACCTTGATGCAAACATCTTCATGAACATGTGTGCTGCTCGACAACAGGCTAAGGTGAAAGGCCCGCTAGCGTGAAGTGTTCTGTTGTCGCAAGTGTAGACGTGGACCAGCAGCGAAGATATTCGAAACATTCTCGGCCTCAAATCCGCTTTCTGCTCCCTGCCAGACGTGGCGCCTCCGAAGTTTGCCGCTGTCGGAACAAAAAATGCTGTATGACAGCAGAGAATTCAATAGATATCTGGGGCCCTTTCACACGAGAACTGATGCAGTCTATGTGCCATTGTATTGGCATCAGCAACGACACATTGAAGATGCATACTGTGACACGGCTTCTATAGGCTTGTACCGCCCATTTTTGTCAGCTGTGAGATATGTACGAGTGCTGGCTGGGGGGCGCAACGGTCACGCTCCGCTTTGCATGGTCACTGCTTGATGCTGTACTAGTAGTTTGCATTCCCGACCAAATGCATGAGATAAAGCTGACTGAAACTGCATAGAGTGTACATGCCGGTCAAGATCAGATGAGTTCCTTGCCGCAATTATCATGCAGGAACTAGAAGCGTGGTGATGCTGAAGCTGTATAGTCTTCCAATTCTAAGCCCTTTAGCAATGACTGCCATGGGACGACACAAGCAGAAGGGCTGTTTAGATTCCACTCTGTCCTGTTCCAGCATTGGAGAAAAATAATGCAACACAGACGTTGGGCCATGTTATGCCACAGTGAACTGAGTGAACTGAGCTGGAGGCTTACTTCCGTGGCCAGCTTGGCGGACTTATCCGCAGCAATCCTCATCTGCACTTCTGCTTCTTGCAGGGACATTTGCCTGCCGAGGCCAGGATTTGAGCGCAGAAAGGAACAAAGATGCAGCATGTTGCTTTTGCTTTTGCAAAGACACTTGCAGAGGTGGCACCTGAAGCAGCAGGCGCCTGGAGTGTGGTCCTTCGACCACACCAACGTCAAGCGTGGCAATACTTCACACTGCGCAATGATCCAGGCGCGTCTGGAACTGTGCGGGAATCGTCATGCAGCATCTTATCGACATGGGAAGGTGCAGAGGATCCAGCCAAGCGCTGGAAAGCAGGCCATGACACGGCGGATGGCCTCGAGCACGTATGGGAGGCCCTGCGCACAGAGTGTGGAGATCTGCCCAAAGCCATTCATGTTTGTGCCGGTGATCTCATTACAAGCGCCTGCTCACAGGATACGGTGAGGGAGGTCAACGAGCATGGGCCCTTCTTCGCGGCGGTTGGCTTCAGCCAGGGAGCGAACGTTGCTGCCGCTTTGCTAGCCAAGCAGGCAGGAGAGAAGCAGACGCATTTGCTTTGGAATGTGGGCCCCGCAAGCGCGAGGCCTGCTCCAAGATGGACCTTGGCTTGCGCTGCACTGTGAACCTTTGTGGTGGCATCTGGGGCTTTTGGGACAGTACTCCGCGCTCGTGGTGGTCGTCTGCATCTCCACCGCAGCTGCCCATCAGCTCGGCACTGAGTGATGTACTCTTCGACCCATATTCCACAGCTGGATCTGGCATGTGGGCAGGTAGCATGATGTAGCATGCGTGCGTTGCGGTGCCGAAATTGCTGCTGTCCTTTCAGAGGAGGAGTGCCGTCATTGCACATCTTGGGGCGCGCCGATCCCTACTTGGCGCAATCGAAGTCCCTTGTGGAGGGCTATTCGCCTTCGGAGAAGCGACATGTCTTGGAACATGAGGGCGGCCAGGTCCCCAGAAAGCTACCATAAGCTGATAGCACGCTGCTTGCGACGGTTCAACGAAGGTCACACTCCCTTTCCAATGGACCGAGAGAAGCGCGTGGATGTTATTCGGCACGTGAGTAATTTTTTGGGAGAACACTCCCATTTATGATTGGCAGTTTTCCTACATGTTTCCACATTCTATAGCATGCCCGCTGCTACAAATTGTAGCCGATGTTAGATCATGAGCCGCATAGAGGACAACAGGGCTGATGTAGCAGCGAGCTTCATGCAGCCAAAGCGCTCACCTATTGCAACGCAATGTGCTTGGGAAGAGCATCACACGAGCTAAGCTCACTTGGAGAGCTGCTCCTCCTGCAGCTCAGAAGCAGCAAAGATAAGCAATAGCCTGCAACCAGATGCCCAACATCTGGCGCTGGTCCGGCCGGGGCGCCGTGGCGAGTTCTTCAAGTTCTGATGACTGTGAATGCAGCTGCGTCAAGAAGAAGCAGGTGGCTCGCAGGATGCCGAAGCTGGCGGCATAGGTCCAGGCTTTGGCTGGCCCAATGCCATTGTCATTCATGCTTGTTCTGGGCGGTCCTCCCTCTTTCATTTAGAGTTTAGATGATGACGGATACGTCAACAACTGCGCCAATGAAGAGAAATAAATGCGACTTGCTCACAGATTGAGATGTCTGTGCAGTTGCTTCTTCTGCCGACCTATGTCCGTGCATACCAATGATTGCAAGCAATGCGCAGAACAGCCTTGAAGAACTCGAACGATCTCCGCGGATCTTGGCTTGCAGTTTAAGTTTTGGCAGAGACAGTGCGCGCATCTTCCAGACATACAGGAAGCCTTGTCACCAGCCAGGTTTCAGTGCGAGGATTTCGACCGCCGCAACATGTCGAAGCAGATCACGACTGAGGTGCCAATGCTGCTGCTACGACACCCAATCCGTGAGCGGCTCGCTTATGGCAGTTCCTTTTGGTTTTGAAGCCCATAGTCACAGGTGCTATACAGCATTCTTCCAATGAATCAGAGAGCATGCCTCCACAAGTTGCAGACTAAGGTATCAACATATAGGTCCGGGACCCTGGTGCTTTTAACATGTGATGTGTGCATCAACAGCGGCTGCAGCCTGCGTGACTTGCACAGCACATCTTGCAGCCACTGAGGCTTGCATTGGCTGGCCACCTTGCACGAGAAGCATTTCAACGGGATATTGGCTGATGAGAGCCATGTATGCAACGCCGGGCCTCCGCATATCTTCGCTGCAGAGTGGTTACTGGCGCAGGTGATTTTTACCCACCTGAGAATCTTGCGTATGTGGGCTTGTACTTACTAGGATGTTTCTTCCGGTTCACGGCGTGGTCTGCAGCCGATGCTGCTTTGCAATTTGCTGCCTTGTCAAAGGATGGGCCTCGGCAAGACCATCATGACAATAGCCCTGTTGGCCCATCTTGCCGTGCAGATTCGCAGCTGAACCAATGGTGAGGTGTGTGCATGGCCCGACCTATCTAAGTTGCAGAATACTTGTTGCAAGGAATGCTTATTGGCATTTGGCAACTGCAAGGAAAGAGGTTTGGGGCCCTCACCTGGTCGTGGTTCCTACGTCCCTCCTCATGAACTGGGTGAAGGAGCTGCAGAAGTGGGCTCCAGGCCCGCTGCGGGCTCCGTTTCAACCCCAAGATGAAGCCTCAGGCTTCGTGTGCAGTGCTTGCAGATGCTTGCAGGCCTGAAGGTCTGTGCTTACTACGGCACTGTTAAGGACGCTCCAGATGAAGCACTCTCACATCTCTGACAGCGTGAGAGAGGGGGCAAGGTGGTTTGTAAACTGCAGGAGCGACGTGATAAGCGGCGTGGATGGGGTGGTGAAGATGCTTTTCATGTCTGTGTAGCTTCGCAGCTTGGCTGAGAAAAAGCGTTCGCTTGCAGCTCTTTTTCTCTTCCGCCTGTATTTGGTGAGGTATGCCGTTGTTCTGCAAGACCTCCGTCCGTTGCCCCTTGACAGCCTGGCTTTCCGTGGCAGTCTGCGGCATGCACCCAGACTTGGCTTGAGCAGGAAGATGAAGCGCTGGCATTACTTGATATTGGACGAAGCCCAAAACATAAAGACACATGGCTCCGTTGTCTATCAGACATGAGACGACTGCATGTCACGTGGTCGGCTGGGCACCAACACTTGAGCCAAGGAACTGTCGCTCTCAAAAATGGCAGCAGCTAATGCGTGTCTCAGTGGCGATCTCTCAGTTTGTGGGGGCATCTGCTAGCTGCTAGCTGCCAGGTGGAGTTATACCAAATTTCAGTCTTGAACCAAGGCTTCAGATCGGAGCGCCGACTGCTGCTGACAGGAACGCCGCTCCAAAACAACTTGACTGAACTCTGGTCCCTCCTGCACTTTCTGATGCCAGCTCTTTGGCTCAATATATTGCTTTCACCATGGTATAGGATGACAGCGCTGACGGTTGCTTTTCGGAAAGGTGGCGACGGAAACTGTTGTAATCCCGCAGCACATGTCACGAGCAACGCGCAGTTACCAAGCCAAGGACATGTTTCAATCTTACTCCGACTTCAAGGTGTGTGGGTGACCGCTAAAGGATTTTCGGGAAAAGTTGCCACTATCTATGGACCCCTGGAAGGAGTTCTTCGCCGACCCGCTGCACTTGGCCATGCACGAGCAGCGCGTCAAGCAGGAGCAGGAGCGCAATGTGAATCATGCTCAGGCAGTTTTGCTGGTTGTTTTCTTCGTGCAATATGAATGACCATGCGGCACTTCCAGCGGTTTTTGTTCATGTTTACTGCCAACATCATGAATTATATGTCGCCTCCAAAATCCAAACCCAACCGGCACATAAGGACCTAGTGATGCGATTGCACAAAGTCATCCGCCCATTTATGCTGCGAAGGCACGCGTGCGCATACGCAGCTACCGGCTGCAGTCCAGCGTGCTGCCTCACTGCGTTGTGCAGGTTGAAGAGTGAGGTGGAGCGTCAGTTGCCGCAAAAGCATGAACATCTTGCGCCTCCTCTTGACAATTGTGAATGTTCATGGCAGTGGCTAGGGCCTTTCACCAGGCTGGAGGCATTCTATCATGAGATGACGGAAAGAACTTGACTTGCGCATGACGTCCAACTCTTCAGACCTGCAGGGACTCCACGTTCATTTGAATCCCAAGGTGCCTTGCCGTCTATCCCGTCGGCAGCAAGTCCTGTACGAAGAATTCATGAAGAGGTGGGGGTGCTCGCATATTGGGTTATTTGGGGGCAGATGCCAAAACGTAAAGCAGACCAACAGGACGAGAGACCAGTCTGGCATCGCAACAAATCCGGTAGGCGCCAGACGCAGCTCATCCTCAAGAAAGGCGACTACTTGAAGATGATGAGCAAACTGCGCTGAAATGTTTGGTTCTCACATCCTAAACTCCTCGGCCACCTGAGGTGCAAACACAGTCTTCAACACTCTTGTCACACATGTGACTTCTCCTGGGCTCTTGCTGATCTTGAGGTATCTTGATGCAGCTGAGAGACTTGGGCCTGCACATTTGCACCAACTGAGCTCTTGTGTAGCCTCGGTTCAATTTGACCTGTGGCAGGGAAAGTCAGCTGTAACTACCTGCGCACAAGACGTTACTTTTTCGACTTGTGCAATGAATTACTCCTAGAGGTCAGGGGCCCCCCTGCGCCCTCACTGGATGCATGCAAGGCTCATTGAGAAGTTCAACTTGTTTGCAAAGAAGGTTTTGAGCAAAATGCCGATGTCTCAATGCACGCGCAGCTCAACAGAGCGCTCTGCTTGAGGAAAAGTTTGCAATCACCCAGAGCTTCTTGAACCCAGGGGCGCGGTGGCTCTGCAGCAAAGGCCAGCCTTTTGGAACGTCCAAGCCACTCGCACAGTCCGAGGCAACTTCGTTTGTCATGAGTCCATTGGCTATGAAGATGCCCAGCTTGGTGCTAATGAACCTGTGGCAGAAAGTGGCTGGGAAGTCGTTTGGTGAGGTGCGGAGGAGCCTGCCCTTTTTGTTTTCATGCAGGTATTACATGCAGACAGGCGTAGCAATGACACAGGCTTGTTCATGCCGTTCAGCCTGGAAGGCCGATTTCTGTTCCTTGCTGCTGCCCTTGCCACTTGGTCATTCTAGCCTTGTGTTCATGATCTGTAGCACCAGAAATATGTCAGTAAAGGCCAAGATCGGGCCCAGGATATCGTTATGGAAATTCGAGAAGCTGATGAAGACGCAGAATCATAAGCCTCTTCCGATCTCTGAGGCAAGCTCAGTTTGTTTGAAACTGCAGGCAAGAGTGCCGCGGTCCAGTAGAGTGCCCGCACTCATGGGTCTCACGCGGGGTCCATCGGTGCATAACATTATTTCTATGGCTCTGCAGGTATTGGAAATGAGCCTGGACCGTGCTCCAAAGCGCAGGTGGGCGTTGAGTATGATTGGAGCAGTTCTCCTGCAAGCTTCGCGAGGCGAGTTTCTGACGCCGACGTGGCTGAGCTGAGGCGGAAGTTGTTCACGTTGAGCACCGGCAAGAATACATTTCTGGCTTGCGCCCAGTTGGCTCAGGAGCCTGGTCTCACCGGGCAGCAGGGAGTTCCTGGATGAGTTTGGAGCCCAGCACGAGTCAAGCTCCAATTACAAAGTGTTACATCCAGAAAGGATCTGCCATCTGCCGCACGGAAAAGTCATTATAGTCAGTTAGCATGAGTCCCGGCAAACACTCACACGTCAAGTTACGTGCAGACGTCTAGGTGGCACTTGCAAATGTGCGACGCGGACGTCGAGCGGAAACGTGAGCGCTACAGTGCAGTGTCAGCCGTCGATCTCTTGCTGCAGCTGGAAGCTTCCTCGGCAGATAAAAAGACAGTGCAGCTCCTTTGCTGGAGGGAGACATCTCATTCAAGACAGGCCTCAGCAGGGCGTCCCTGGGTGGGCGTTGATGGTGTGGCGTTGTCAGCTTCTCAGGCTGCGAAAGATGTTTTAACGAAGATTCTTTCCCATCGTGCCAGTCCAAGGCTCACAAGGTCATGTTCTAGATCGGGATTGCTGAACTTGAATGGAAGCACCTGGACAGCAGATGACCACAGTTCCCGCAAGTCTTTGCAAGTCCGAGCAAAGCGGTTCTTCTCATCGATGCAGTCCTGAGGATTGCAGCCTCGGCCTTTTCTGTGGCCACAATTGCAGCGGATCCTCGCTTAGTTTACGCTGCAAGCTAAGTCAAGCTCAAGTGGCTTAAGTGCGAAGCGAAATCAGGTGTCCTACTACGCCCTCAGCAAGGCCACCTTATTTGCACCATGTCTTGGAAGACAGTTTGAGGTGGAAAGCTACCAAAACAGCATTTAAACCACCCTGGCAAGCTAAGGCAAGGCCGCATCTTGCCAGCGGAGCGCCGGAGGCAGGACGCGCAGCAACGCGAAACAGGAGTAGTTGCGATTCGCAGCTCGCCATTTCTCGTACAGGAACTCGAGCTGGGAGGCCTTGCCCCATGGCATTACGAGAGGAGAGACAGGGACGAGCTGTTACAGATGCCGGAACATGGAACCCGACAAAGAAGACTGAGTTTGGCTAGAGAAAGTGGCAAGTAGTTCCACGGTTCTACGCCTCCAGGTGCTGGCAATAAAGCAACAAATAGGAGTTCCAATGAGGAGCACGGTGCACCAACCGCGAGCGAACTTGCCCAGAATTGGAACAAGTCAATGCGACCTACCAAGTTCGAGGTGGCTGGGGAACCCTGGGGGCATAGTGGAGAGGCATCCTCCCGGTTGCCCTGCAGCAACAAGTAGAGCTGCGGTCTACCGAAGCTGGAGCAATCTGGGCAATTTGCGTCGTGTGCTGGGGCCCAACCCCGCGTAGGAGGTCGGACTCTTGTCACTTGGAGCCTGCCAGTGAGCGCCCTCAACTTGCTTGGAGGAAGGAATGGTTTGATGCCATGCAGGCTGTAAAGTGGTCAAAAGAGTCAAAAGAAGGGACTTGTAACGTAAACAGCTGCGAAGCGTTGAGAATAAGCAAAGATTTGAGAGGTCAAAAAAGGCTCGTGAGAGTTCCACAGAACGAGGGAGCACGTGAGTTGTGGGGAACAAAATGAAGCAGTAAGACGGCGCCAAGTATGATGCACACGTTCCACATGAGCATAACCCCTTTGTCAGTTCGATGGGGCAGTCTCCACGCTGTCTGCCAGCGTCCATTGTCCCCTGGCTGAGCCACTGGTACTATGGTCAAGCAATTTGCTTGAGCATGAAACCAGTATGAAAGCCTAGGTGACATCGAGCGCAACTTTTCCACGAGACTTGGGATGTGGGCCTTTCGCGTCCCGCGTGTCCAGGACACCGTTGGCCGTCAGACTGTCGTGAGCACCACGCACCTGGGTGAGCAGGTTTCCGCCGCCGGAGCCACGTTTCACGCTCATGGGAATGAGGACAGCGAACTCAACGATTTCAGGCAGGGCGCTCCGCGCAGATAAGCTTGACTCTATCGTTTGCAAATGTCCTTCCAGGAACTTGATGCAGAGAGGGTTTCAACTGCAACGTCCGGCAGGCGCAGCTGTGTAAGAGCTTCGCTTCTGCCATTTCTGTTTGTTGGGAGCTAGCAACCTTGAAACATCGCCTGTGGCCCTTCGTCATGCAGGATCTTCTCAGTTCTCAGCACTGGATGTGCGCAGCCTAGCATGGCAGAGCAGTGCTGACTAGTTGCCCTCAAATTGGCATTTGCCAGCTTCCCCCAGTTCTGAACACTGCGTTAGTGTCCCATAATTCTCTAACAAATTCTAAACAGACTCTAAGAGCTAACAACCTGGGAGCCATGCTCAAGCCCTGATTGGCGCATGCCCAGCCTTGCAGCCATGCGGCATCTGCCATGTGCCTGAACACTCCGTAGCCTGTGGAGTTTGGTATCATGTCAATGCGTGTCAGCATGAGCCAGAATCTGTCAAAGCTCGCCCATCTGCAAAATGGCAGCTGCCGCATGCCGAGTGGAATCCAACTTCATACAGGCTCAAGAGCCTGTGCAACGGCGCCGCTTTGCAGCACTTGGAAAAACAGTTTTCACCTCTTCCCGCTCTTCTGATCAAAGATGCAAACTCACCTACCTACATTGTACAATTTTTAGGGAACTATCTGGTAGGTCATGTCTGCCGTAGTTGCCTTCATTTTTTGCCAGGGCAGTGCTAGCCACAGAGCTCCAACACTTGCTTAAAGTCATGCTGGATTCTTCTACTTAAGCCAGCGCCAACCGATCAAAGCCATACTTTGGTGAAGACTTTCACACGTACGAGTGAGATCAAGTGAGGCAAAAACCTGTGAGGCACATGCCCTCTTGCAAATTCCAGACATTGAAGACCCGCGGAATCTGTTTAGTAAGCAGCGGCGAACTTGAGGCACGTTATGTAACACATTCTTTGGATCGGCATTGCGACAGGAACTTCGACAAGGGAGTGGCGCAGCCAGAAGGGCTGGAAGTCAGTCTCCTGGTGGGATCTGCAGCTAAGCACCAGCATTGTAGCACAGAACCGTGCGAGAAATGTGCTCCATCTTTGCAGCGCTCATCTGCCTCAGCTCCACCTGGTCAATGCTTCAACGGCTTTGCATCGCGTAGCCAAAGCATCAGACAGACTCGAAGTATTGGATTCGATTGAGCTGCAGTCACTAATCGGTTTAGTGTCATGGCAGCTGACAGAAGCAGCGGAAGTGACAGCTTTTACCTTGGCCAGCGTGTGTTGGGCCTGTGCGAAACTGAGCTACCTGAACATCCCCCTTTTCGATTTCCTTGCTGCAAAAGCCACAAGTTGCGTTGAGGACATGGGATGCCAGGAGTGCTCGAACATTGCCTGGGCATATGCGATGCTCCAACTTTTCCACGGGCCGCTACTCGTTGCTCTGCAGAACTTTGCCTTCAAAGCAATGCCATCCTTTGACTCACAGGCCGTCTCAAACTTGGTCTGGGCATTCGCGAAACTTTTGATACTGGATGAGCCGCTCATGGCCTCGAGCGCGCTGCGTTTTGCCGAGTGCATGCTGGAGTCAACTCCGCAAAACCGTTCCAATTTTTGCTGGGCGCATGCTTTGCTCCAGGTCCAGTCTCCATGCCTGACGTCGACATTGGCAAGGGCCTGTGAGCAACTATGCGAGCTTGAGCTGCAGGATCTTACCAACACGACCTGGGCGCTTGCCGTGCTGCATTCCAGAAGCACACGATCCATTTGTGCAAGCGGTGCTGTTACATGCTAATGGGCTGCAAGCAGAGGATGACATCACAGTGCGCAGAGCTCAGGCATCCTGAGGCGCCGTTGCTACATGAGTTTGCGGCGGAGTTTGTGCTGAAGGTGGATGCCATCATGCAAGGCGAATCGCAGAACACTCAGCCACGAGGCTTTGGAGCGCTGCTCTGCATGTACTTACTTCAAGCTTGGGTCATTACTACAGGTTGAACCATGCAAGGGCGATGCCAGCCGGGAGGGACACAGTTCCAGATGCGGTCAACCTGCCTAGCAAGCTTGGGTTAGGACATGGCAAGATACAGCCACGGAACCACTCCCCTTCACAGTTCCATGGTCTCCGAAGGAGAAACAACACGAAAGCCTCCGCTCAGTTCTCGGACTCTCGGAATCTTTCGCTTGAAAGTCAAGGCTAATCTATCATCGTTGTGTCAGTTGAGCAAAGGTGTCTGGTAATGTTGCGACGCGCACCTCCCTCTGCAGATGCGTCCCATTCCTCAATGGCATGCTCAACAGCAGGTTTCAGTATCATTTTTCGGCTGTGCGTCGAACAGCCAACTCACAAGAATTGCCATGGGCATCTCAAGCCCTATCAAAGATTTCAGATGTAGCCTGCCAGGCCCACCGGACCTTAGCCTCCAAAACGCAGTTTCGGACCCGGGGGCATATCATTCCAAACCTTTGCTTTCAGGTGTTAGTGTGCAAGAATCATAAGGCCAGCAGTGTTCGAACTGCGCGGACTCGTGTGACTTGCAACCTGTTTCGCAGCTGGTGCTTTGTGCATGTATTGCTGACCAAAGCCCGCGTAAGACTTGAATGACGCGTGGCGGAGGTTTGGTTACCATCGCGCGTTTGCAGGAAACTGCTTTTGCCATCGCATCTGTCTCGCTGCTTGGGATGCAGTTGCTTTACGGTTGAGCTGTTGAGCTTGCAAGTAATGGGACTGACGTTCAGGCTAGCGTTTGAGCACTGAGGTGGGCCTTTGCTTATACCAGCACTTTGTCACCAGGGCTGCGCTGGGCACTTATGCAGAGGCTTTCGAGCATTGGGGCGCGGGTGGACCGAATCACTTCACAGATGCCACCACAGACAGTTGTGGCTCCGCGTCACTTGTGCGCAGCCCTGCCGAGGGTTCTTGTCAATGCTCGTGGTATGGCGGTGGTATTCAAACCGCCAGGATGGGAAGTAGACGGGCCACACAGTGAGCCTGGCAGCCAGTCATTTCTATCTGACTTTGTCAGGCAAGAATTTCCGTTACATTACTTGCCAACTTTACCCGAGTTCCAGTATGGCTTCGTTCATCGACTTGACGTGCCGAGCTCTGGCTTGATTTTGGTTGGAAACACTTTTGAAGGCCTGTATTCGTTGCGCTTGCAGATCAACACCTTCTCCATCTCCCGTGAGTATGCAGTACTTTGTCATGGCACGACGCCGGCTTCATTCACAGAGTGCAACATCCCAATAGACTTGGTTGCCCGTCGCAGCCTTACCGGCTCCCAAGAGTCAAGTGACCGCGGAAGTGTCGCTTTGACTTGGTTCAAGTTCATGATGCATGGTCGTGTCGAGTGGAGACAGCTAAGCCTTGCATCAATCCGCATACATACAGGCAGGGGTGGGAGACTCCTTTAGGAAGAGAAAAAACAAATCACTTGGGATGAGATTCGTTCTGGCTTATCGGAGGCTCGAAGGGAAGAAAACGTGGCAGTGGTCAGCCAAACAATTGTCGGACCCCTGCTGTCGTGGCCCCCCAATCTCGCCCTGAGTGATGTTGCTTCCCGGATTTGAATTTTCATGCTCATCTCGTGCTAAATGACTTTTTTGGTGTCACTTGGCCGAAATAGCTGTGAAGGCTTATGAAGGTTGAAATGCATTTGTTGGTGGGTGGTTCTGCCTTGAAGTACATGACACCAACCCAAATCATAAAACGCCCTAAGCCCTAAAAATCCTGAAGCCTAAAAACTCTAAACACCCTCAAGCCCAAAAGCCCGAAACCCCAAACACCCTGAACCCGGAAATCACCTACAAACCCTAAACTCCACTCCTAAATCCTGACATCCCCGAACCACAAAAAGCCTAAGCTGTAAAAACCACAAACCCAACAAACTAAAAAATCCTAAACACCCTAAAGCCTGAGAACCCGAAAGCCTAAACACCCTAAACCTGAAAACCAGCACACCCTAGCCTCCTAAATCCTTACATCCCTATACTATAAAACAATCTACAACACTAAAGCCTAACAGTCCCAAGCCCCAAAAACCCCAAAAGCTAAAAAGGATAAAAGCCCCAAACCGCTCCTACACCCTGACATCCCTCAACCATAAAAACCCTGGAACCCAAAAAAGCCTAAACCCGTGGCCTAAGCCGAGCTCATGGAATGATGAAACTTTCCCTGTTGCTGCGAGTCTGTCTTCTCAGGATCGTGCTCTAGCTCTACAAGCCGATGGTGCAGATGGAGCCAATGGAGTCGATGAGCGGGAGGCACCCAACACGCAGATTGAAATGCTGGTGCCTAATGCGATGGTACTGACTGGTGAGGTTGCTGCAGGTGACGGGGCCATGGATGAATCCGGAGGGCTACTTGATGGGCAGCCAGAAGCGCTGGCGCCCGATGCTGCTGTGGTGGTTGGCGAGATTGACGAGGGCGGCGGTGCAAAGGTTAGCGCGAGCACTTCTGATGGGCAGGAAAAGGGTCAATTGACTTTGAAACATTGGCTTTTGTAGGATGCTGTTCTGGTTTGATCTGTGTAAGAGTAAACGGACCCATGAGTTTTTGAGTGTCTGTGCAGTGCGTGCACATGCGAAGCATGAGCACAAATCGAGAAGTGTCTGAAGCGCGGGGCTTAGAGTCTGCAGCAAAAGGATGTCAGCTGGGGGCTTAGCAGCTCACAGCTGGTAGCGGAGCTCCCTGGCAATCGAACTGGGGAGCGCCGTGTCATGGCTGCGGGTGATGAACGCGTCACGCTGGAGACCTTTGATGGGTCAGATGTGTCAACGTACCGGAGGTGGAAGCGCGGGGCACAGCTGATGTTGGCTGCTATGCCAAACACGGTTCCCAAAGAGAAGTATGGGCCGCACCTGTTACAGTACATCAAGGGAGAGGCCGAGCTTGTCTGTGAGGCGATTCCTGTTGAGAAGCTGTGCCAGGAAGGTGGAGACAAATTGGTCTTCGAGCTGTTGGACGAGAAGTACGGGCCACAGCCAACCGACCTCCTGCACCGTGCCTTGAAGGATTTCTTCTATGACTTGCAAGTCAAGAGCAGCGAGTCCTTCCAACAGTTCCAGGCGAGGTACTTCTATGCCACGCAGAAGCTGGAGGAACAAGAATTCAAGTCGTCTACGTCGTCCTCCACAACCGGCAAGGCGGCGGACACCAACGTCGTCGAGACCGACAACGATGTGTTCGTCACTGAGGATGCGGAGGTGAAGGAGCTGCTCCAGCGGTTCTCTAGCAAGAAGCAGGCATGGGAGAAGAGGTTGGCCACGGACGTTGGCAACCCAGGATTTGCCGACAGTCATTCCACCGGCAATCGGCAGCGTCCTTACCAGTGGCGCTCAGCAGGCCATGGCAGGTGGGAACGTGAAGCCCGATGGAGCGAGGCACCAGCGGACATCCAGGTTGAGACTCGAAGCCCCGCGCCCGAAGTTTTTTGTCAGCGAGATGTACTTCAAGACGTACTGAGCTCTGATGCGCATGATAGCAATGTAGATTTTGACCCAGCTCTTGCTAGGTGTGGAGTGCCAGACACTGCTTGCAGACCTATGCTTGTTGGAGAGTACATCCTGGGTCTGGGGTTGAGGGTTAAGCGTGTTAAGTGCCGTAATCGGTTCAGATTCGGTAATAGTGGGGCGCTTGAAAGTGAGGAGGTTGCGATAATACCTGCAAAGATAGGAAGTAAAGTCATTTGTGTAAAGGCGTCCGTGCTCAATGGGCACGGCAGTAGGACTCCTTTGCTCCTCAGTAAAGAGTTGTTACGTAGCTTAGGTGCTGTTATGGATATGTCTAGAGACCAGTGCCACTTCCGCCACGTTGGGGAGACTGTCGTGTTGCGTGAAACCAATAGGGGGCACTACGGCATTCCGATGTTTGAGGCGGTGAATGTAGAGGAAGGTCGGCAACATCATGGATAAGAACCTAGCTACTCTGTGCTTGGAGTCAGACGTACAAGGTCAAGCTCGTCTAGTGCCAGGGTTTGACATCAGCAAGTTGGAGCAACCATGCAACAGTGACACCTCAGCTGTCACATGTCAAGAGAGCATTGTACCTCCCCCTCCTTTACCTCACCAGGTTCCTCGTAATGATGTCCATCCGCCCAGCCGTGGTGAAGGGCGACCTCAAGGAGGCGGCCGAGGAGATTGTGGGGGGAGTCCGAGCTCTCGACAAGGCGGCCGACATGGACTCCGACGGCAACGACATTGGTGTCAAAGGATGTGTGAGCATGCAAGTGGGAAAGTACATGGGCAAGATGACTCTCAGTCAGATCTACTGCGGGGACAAATCCTATGTGGGCTGGGTAGTACTCTCGCGGCCGACCACGGAGTCCACGACGGACGGCCTCATGCAGCTCAAGGTATACATTGCCCATCGGGACGCGAAGAAGTACAACAGGCTCGCCATGGAGAAGCTTGCGCAGGAGAACGTGGTGCCGAAGGTTGCCAAGGAGATGTCGCCAGGGACAAGTCCACGCAAGCGACAGAGTCCAGCCAAGTCATCCACATCCGGGCCGATGGAGACGGAGACCGATGCCTGGATCCGAGTCGACGAGAATCCCAGAATGGTGAAGCGCTGGCAGAACATGGTTCAGGACATGATTGAGAAGGACGCGCGCCAGAAGAAGACGCAGGCAAATCGCTGTCATCGAGATCCCGACCGTGTCAGGATGATTGTGGAGGTGCTGTGGCGGTGAAGGTCAACAGGAAGACACGAAGGAAGCATCGAAAGGCCTTCATGTCATTGGCGAAGGGTCGGCCATGTACAGAAACATGGAAGCCAGAGCATGCTTAAGTCGGCGGGGGCTAGTGAAAAGGCTCTCAAATTTGCTAAGGACTTGAAGTGCAGCTTGTGCGAGACTCGTAAGGCTCCTCCCTCTAGACCTGTTGCCAAATCCCGTCGAGCCCAGCAGCTGAATGAACAAGTGAACTTGGACACGTTTGAGCTGCCCATTTATCAGTCTAAGAAGTTGCGCACGCTTAACATTTATGATGCGGGGACGGGGCTGCAAAGATGTGCGCCGCTATGGAAAGGCAAAACTGCTGAGCGGGTTCGTAAGTGCTATCGCCAGTCATCGAAACGTTGGTGTGGGTGTCCCAAAAGGATTCTCACTGACAATGGCGCTGAGTTTGAGGGTGCCATGCAAGAAGGGTTGGAGATGGATGGGAGTTACAGTGATCGCATTGCGGCGTATGCGCCGTGGCAGGCGGGAGTGACTGAGAGGCGCGGGGGGACTTGGAAGAACATGTTTAGCAAGGCCTTCGAAGAAACTCATCCTCGGAACAAAGCTGAGGTGAACGAGCTTATCGATCACATCAACCATGCCAAAAACTCCATGAGTAGGAAACATGGTCATGCGCCGTACCAACATGTGTTTGGTTGTGATCTCAGATTGCCTGGCAGTGTTGAAGATACGCTTGGTGTTGTGCATAATAGTGCTGTTGTGCATGGCATGGACGGTGTGTTGAGATCCATGGAGATGCGCCAAGCAGCGCGTAGAGCCTTTGTGCGCCTAGATGAAGATGAGAAGGTCAGACGGCCTTAGACAGGCGCAGCCGACCACATCGCGGGCCATTCGAGTTCGGCGACTATGTGTACTATTGGAGAAAATACCCTCGTGATGGCGCAGTTGGTCGCTGGTACGGACCAGGAGTGATCATCGGCAAGCATGGCGACTCTCGGCTGTGGGTCGCTGTGGGCACCAAAGTGCTCAAGTGTGCGCCGGAGCAGCTGAGGAAAACTAATAATGTGTGGGTCAGGAAGAGGCGAAGAGGCGATTCGCATGGTTAGCCCAGATCTGGTGAGCAAAGAGGGAGTCAGGGCTCCCAGGTGTACGGACATCTCAAATGAGCCGTTCCCTCCTGAAGACGTTGACGATCCAGTGGATGATGGTGAACGTGGAGGTGATGAGCACGACGCGGACCAACAGAGCCGCAAAAGGAAGCTGGATCATACAACTTCCGAAGAGGAGGACGAAATGGCTGGCTATGAACCATCACCAAATGATGCCGCGCTTGAGCCCATACCTGAAGAAGGCATGAGTGGAAGCGAGGGTATGGAGACTCAGGAGCCTCATCTCAAGCTCCTGGGCTGCCTGAAGCAAGTTCGAGGAGGGCATCCAATGTCACGGTGTCAGATGAGCCACATACTGCATGACCGAGTGACACTCCACTGTCATATGGTCCCGTGGGAAGACATCTCACGAGACGCAGCTCCCCCAGTGACGTTCCACTCCAGCCAGGCGGGCCTTCAACCTCTCAGACGGACCTCCAAAGGGCTCTTCATAGGAGCGTCGAGATCCTGGATGTGGGTCAGACACGCGTTCCAAGAACACCCTTGACAATACCAGTGCCCGATGAGGACGACGATGATGTGCTCGAAGCTTTCCTGGTGGAAAAGGGGCTTTCCTTGGATGTGTATCTGGCGCAGAAAGGGAGGTCTGAAGTCAATCCGAAAGACATGACGACCAAGGAGTGGGGACAGAAAGAAAAAGGCATGGTCAAGGAATGGCAGAAGCTGCTCAGGACCAAGTCAATCAAGGCCCACGTCGGGGAGGACGCACGGAAGTTGCGTGCCACCATCGATCCCAAAGATATGCTTGAGTCTAGGTTTGTGTACACTCGAAGGGAGGATCCTGAGGATCCACAACAAACTGAAATCAAGTGTCGATGGTGCATAAAAGGGTACAAGGACCCTGCCATCTTGGAGGTGGAGAGACAATCACCCACGTTGGAGAGCTGATGCCTTGAGCATTGTGCTGCAGATAATTGCATCTAATCGATGGCGGCTTAATGTAGCCGACATCGAGGGCGCCTTTCTGCAGGGGCATGGAATCAAAAGGCCGAGTGGCAAAGTTTACGTCAAACTCCCCAGTGAAGGGGTGCCGGGGGTTGATTCCGACATTGTGGTTGAGGTCTGTAAGTATGTTTACGGCCTCTTTGAGGCTCCCCGCCAGTGGTGGATATATTTGTCTGGTGAACTCGAAAAGCTGGGCATGAAAGGATCCTTGTTGGACCCTTGCTGCTATTATTGGTATCAGGGTGGGAGGTTGCAAGGAATTTGCGCCTTCCACGTCGATGACCTTATTATGGGGGAGTCTAGAGAGTTTCAAGACACTGTTTTGACTGCCTTGCGATCTCGATTTCCCTTCAAACACTGGGTTCAGGGAGAAGCCAAGTTCTTGGGCAGAAGGCTGCGACAGAGGGAAGACTATTCCATTGTGTGTGATCAAGAAGAGTATGCTGGCCAAGTCCAAAGTGTTCATATCAGCAAGGAGAGGCGTAGGCAGAAAGACTCTGCATTGACGCCCAGAGAGCTCACGTTGTTCAGAGGGATCCTAGGGGCTGCCAACTGGCTTGTGTCTAGCACCAGGCCTGACATTGCTGCCATGAATGCTGTGTTGCAACAGCGAGTGAGCAAAGCCACCATTGCTGATCTGATTGAAGCCAACAAGCTTGTAGGTGTGATTCGTGACCACGCTGCCATGTCCATAGTTTTCCATAGCATTCCCCTTGATGAGGGGACCTTTCTTCTGGCCACTGATGCTTCATGGTCCAACGCCGGAGATCTGCGAAGCCAGGCAGGTCATGTGATCCTCTTCGGCGAGCAGAAGCTGGAGCACGAGAAGTGGGCAAAAGTTAGCCCACTGAGATGGAGATCCTTCAAGCTTGAGCAGCATACGCAATCAACTCTTGGCTCTGAGTTGGTGTCCTTAGCGAGAGGGATAGCCGAGTGTGACTGGCTCAGATCGCTCATGGCCGAAGCACTCCATCAGGACTACACCCTTGAGACCGACAAATTCCGACAAACAGCTGCGTGAGAAGATCCATGCTGTGGTGACGATCGACAATAAGCCGATCTATGACCATACGCACGGAGACGGCATCGTTGTCAAGGACAAACGCATGGCAATCGATATGCTACTTGTAAGGCGCGACATCAGAAGCAACAACTTGACGCTGATCTGGGTGGATACCAAGCAGAGGATTGCAGATTGTTTGACCAAGACAACAGCAGATCCGAGCTTCCTTCGGTTCGTCTTCAAGCAGGGCGAGTACGTGGTTGTGAAAGAGAACCGGTCTCTAGAATGGAAGGTTAGAGAGAGAGAACTACGTAGAGGAGCAAAGGAAAAGTCCCGGCTCATGGGTTTAAAAGGGGGTGGGTAAGACTAAACGGACCCATGAGCTTTTGAGTGTCTGTGCAGTGCGTGCACATGCGAAGCATGAGCACAAATCGAGAAGTGTCTGAAGCGCGGGGCTTAGAGTCTGCAGCAAAAGGATGTTAGTTGGGGGCTTAGCAGCTCACAATCTGAACAAGGACCTGGAAGCTGGGTCTTGATTGTGGCCTTGAAGGGATATGCCTGAAAGGCTGATTTTTTGTTTCCACGAGGGTAGGACTAAGGTGATTTCGTTCTGGGCCGTGCTAAACCAAGCACCCCCCAAGGGCCTGCCTGAGCCGTTGGAGAAAACGCTCGAAAAAACAACTCCTAAATCCTGAGCGCCCTAAACCCTAAAAGCCCCAGACCCTAGACATCCCGCAGCGCTAAAACCCTGAACCTTGAAAACCCTAGGCGCCTGAAATTCTTAACCCTAAACGCTCTAAGCCCAAAAACCTAAGCCTTTTAAACATAAACATATTAGGGGCCGTAAACCCTCAACGCTAAAGATCCTAACCCCTGCACCGTAATAATTTTGAAGTCCCAAAACCTTAAAGACCCCCAACCTTTGACCTTAAAGACCATTCCGCGCCTAAACCCTGAAGACCCCGTTCCCCTAGAGACCCCCCAACATAAAACCCTAAAGATCCAAAGCCCCAAAAAACCTTAAACACCCTTGACTAAGCCTCAGAAAAGCCCTCAACCCCAAAAATCCTGAACCCTAAGTTACTAAGGATCCTAACCCCAAAGAAATTCCTAAACCCCAAATACCTTAAATCATAAAAACCCTCAACCCTAAGGACCCTCAACCCTGAGAACCCTAAACTCCTAAAAGCCCTAGCCCACAAACAGCCCAAACCCTAAAACCCTAAGCCTTAGAAACCCAAAGAACCTGAAACCCTAAGAACCCTAAAGCCTAAGCCTAAAGCTTACAACCCCAAACCTTTTGCACGCAAAAACCCTAAACCATTAAAGCCATAAACCCTTGCAACCCTAAACGACTAAAAAGCTACAAGACTTCTTAACCCTAAACAGCCCTACATCCTGAAACGCAAGAACCCGTTCGCACTCGTCCCAAGTGATCTGTGTTTTCTCGTCCAGAATGGTCTAGGTTTTCTCTCCTTGAGGCATTTTTGACCCTACAGGCAGGAATCACCAGATTCGCACACATCTCCTGCGAACTGGATACCCTACAGTCGTTGACGGGCGCTACACTTGTCTTTCAGTGCTAGTGCGCGAGACGGATCCGCTGATCCTTGCTCAAGTTGGGAGACTTCTTCCGCGTTTTGCAGAGTGGGAGGGCATCCACAGCCGCGCAGCAGGCCACGATGCAGGCATTCGGCGGCTTCATAGCACTTCAGGCCTGGAGCTTCGTGCGCTTCCGGGTCAAGCTCAAGAGCGCCGCCGGCCTCACGTGCCTGGACAGGTCTTGTAAAGCCTAGGGCCTAAATTGAGACGAGTTGAAAAGCCAATGGTTCACAATCCCAACGATTAATGCTAGCTAGTTGATTAGGTCTGAAGCGCTTGCCTTTTTGCTGCCTAGGTCTGGTCGTGGCAACGGTGCACTTTACATGATGGCGCCAGATTTGCCACAGTGACGTAAACAGAACATGATGACTTGTGTGTAACCCCAATTGCCCTGCAAGAGTGGCTGCGGAGCGCTCCTGGCGCGCACACGCCGCAAACTGGGGCCACACGCGAAGGCCCGCGGCGCATGACGAGTAGCTAGGCTGGCCAATCGGATGTTGGTAGCTGTCGAAAGGGTGGACGGTTGAATCTTGGAGTTGGCCATGCTGGCTGATAGTGACGAGATGTTCAGGCCCTGCGACTGCCCGGAAGGGCGGCAGGGCTGCAGGCGAAGAGGCCACAGCAGCCGGCAACAGAGATTGGGAACTGCGATTCCTTCGAGTCATCGAGCTTTCGTCCTTTCGGCACTGAGGAAACAGATGAACGAGGTATAAGACTTTCCTTTTTGGCGTATCTCGAACTAGTCAGCAATGTCAGGACTTACTACCCCCGCATCATGATGCCATTGCGTGTTGATTGGCAGTCTGTTGTGTAAGCGCGACTTTCAAAGCTGAAAACGTTGCACAATTTGGTACCATGTCGTCATTTCCATGTGGCTACAAGTCCGAGGCTCTTGCAGGGCGCTTGCAGTGCCACTTGCCCGAGAAGCAGCTGGGACTGCATTCTAATTCCAGGACTGACACCGCCCCGGTTGCAGCAGCCACTTCTTGGCGCAGTTTGGAGTCCAGATCGCAATCATTCAAAGCTTTTTTGAAACGGGAACTGTTTCGGCCTTTGCAAAGAAGCAGTACTTTGGTGTACTACTTCGACATAGGTTGGCCAAATTCAACAGCTACTGAAGTTCGTTTGTCGCGGACATGCATGTGCTAGCCAGTCTTTACAAAGGTAGAGTCTTGCTCATCCCACTGTTCCCAATATTCCTACTGGTCCTAATGTCGTATTCTTTCATGTAATCGGCAAGCACTAAGTATGATTAATGATTTCAACGAGCCTCATTTGGCAAACTGGTCCTCAAGAACCAAATTCATACTGTCTTCAACCCATCGACAAGGTTCCTGTTTTCTATAGTCTGAAATTCCTTGATGGTGGGATGATTCTCTCCTGGATAAACGTGTTTTTCCCAACGTTCGCAATATCCAGAATATGACTCGCTCGCCGAATATGTCTAACATTGCAAACATTCGCAATATCCAGAATATGACTCGCTCGCCGAATATTCAGAATACTCTCATATGTCTAACATTGCAAACATTCCTAGTGTGCCCTGCGTCCATAGGTTTCCAATCATAAAGAACTCTGGCAAGTTTTTGAACTCCATGGTATTCTAATATTCCGAACGCTGCCAACCTCACCCACATTGCCGAGTTGGCCTCGTATTCACCATGCACTTGATGCACCCGAGGTTACAACTTCCTCTACAAATTCCACCACCCTGCACCCAATACCCAATCGTCCTCATGTTGTTCTCATTCTCCTGTTCTTTATACCGTTCTCTATCATTTAAGGTGTCTTACCTTGCATACCCTATATTGCTCCCAATTTTCCTCCTAGGCCTCAATTCTCAAGCCCCAACCTGCCAATGCACCTGGCACTCCTGGCTCCAGCCCAGCGTGCCCTCAAATTCACAAAAGCATTCCTCACACTCCTTTTGATGTTTGAGAAGCGGCAGTGAATGAGATCGGCACCTCAGCCACGGCAGATTGGGGAAATAGAGCTGGGCAAGCCGCGACATGAAAGACTTGAATGCATTAGGTAGACATTTTGCAAGAACTCTAGGCATGTTGGGATGTGGGTATACGGCTGGGAAAACTTGGATCATTGGGAAGGACAGACTTGTTGTGTTCACTTCAGACATTCTTTGATTGCTTTGGGCATAAGCTTGGCTCAGTAAAGGATGGGGCAGAGGATGTGGCTGAGGCCAGTTTTTGAGGCCACAGCTCTCAAAACAGCAAATTGATGGGATGATATATCAACAACACCCAAGTTTAGTTTTTGGCCCACACATTGGAGTCACCGTGCATTTGGGCTCTAATTCAGAAGTCGTGCTTTTCTGTGCTAGGACCTCAGCTGAGCTTCAATGGAAGGATGGGTTGTGGCACATAGTTGGCACCTTCTTAAACTCTCCAAAGCATGACTTACACAGGCTGTATGAGCACCACCACAGTCCCGCTTGTTTTTTTTTAACACACTCGGCTCCGCATGGTGAACGCATGCTCGCTTGTCCGTGCGCGCCTTACACGTCTGCAACTCAGGCATCACCTAGAATCTGATTGCGGCAAGTTGAGAAAGCTGGTCTTCTCCTTAGTTTGCCTCCGGCACACGGTTTGAAGCATGCACGCGCTGCAACGAATTCAGCCGAAGCACACTTTGTGATTCAGGCCGCGATGCTCAAGGAGTTCAAGAGAAATGGTGACAAGTGCAACTGGCCAGAAAGTGCTGACCACGCTGACTTGCGCTCCCCAAAATTGTTTGACATCGCATCGGCAGGCATCATCTTTACTCAGTTCAGCAAGATGCTGGATGTTCTCGAAACTTTCGTGCCTCAGTGCACATATGTACACCACTACCACCTGTGCAGCAGACCCGCAGCTTTGCAAGCCAACGAGGTCTGCCACCACAGCTTCACGTATGTTCGAATGGACTCGAGCGTCAAGGCAGGGCAGCAGGAACGGTTCACGAAGCAGTTGCTTTGTGACGTTCAGGTGGACCGACGGCAGGAGTTGGTTGATCGGTTCAATGATGACGAGCCCTGGAAGGGTAGATTGAGACATGGTGAGCACGTTGAGTTTTAAGCTGTGCAGCTTTCAATAAGGAGCGGATTTTCTTGTTCATCTGCTCGACCCGTGTCACTTGACTGAATCTCACCTGGCCACGGGCTGCTTAACCGAGCTTATCTGTGCATCCGTGCAGGCTGGAGGTGTGGGCATCAACCTGACGAGTGCAAACACTGCACCTTGTCGGGACAGCTTTGCACAGTAAGCAGGACGTGGCTCAAGCCCGCACAGGTCATTTTCTACGATTCCGACTGGAATCCAGCAATGGACAGACAGGCCTGCCATCAAAGCGGGTGTTTGCATGGTGACTTGCGGTGAAACCCTGTGGGAGGCCACGGATCGAGCACACCGCATTGGCCAGACTCGGGAGGTCCACATCTATCGCCTAGTCAGTGAACATACGATTGAGGACATGCGCGTTGCAATGATAATGTTTGTCTTGCGCAAGGGTCAAACTGGCACGCTTTGGATCATGTTGCCTTAGGAGAACATATGGCGGAGGCAACTGCAGTGCCTCGCCTGCATGCGGCAAATCCTAGGCAGCTGTTTCATAAAGCATTTGCATGCCGTGAGGAAGCGGGAGCTTGATGACATGGTTGTGGACCAGGGCCGCTTTACGACGGACGAACTCGAAAGCCTCCATCAAGGCTGCCCGAGATTGTCTGGTACAGCAGTTGTGCCACCTACTGGCAATGACTAAGTGCGCTAGGTGGCTCTGCGCAAGAGGCTTGTACCGACGAAGTTGCATCGCGCCCCAGAGCCACCGGGGTCACCTGGACCGCCCAAGAGGCTGAGGAACATCACTGTTGCATAGCCAGTTTTCCTGGAGTTGTCCTGGCTCGACCTCAATGGCTTGGGCTTTTAGGTAGCGCGTCCATCACAAGGGGAACGGCTGATTCCCAGTGCAGGTGCGTGCCATGCTGCAAGACGGCCAGAAACCTGAAGTGCATCATGTGCCAAGCTTGAAGAGTTTCGGAATGCTGGGTTGTCATACTCCCACACTCTTACAGCAGCGATGAAAGAAGCATTTGGCGACATGGCAAGGCAGATGCTGCAGCTTCCGATGCTGTGCTGCCAAGCGATGTCGATACCCCCACTGACGCATGCAACGGCACTGTCTTAGCCATTTCAGGTCTGGCCCTCGTGTGTGTGCGGCGGCGTACTGTGCTTTCCGATCATGTCGGTGAGGCACTGCGGTGGAGCAGCCGACGAGCATATCCGAATTCGAGTGCCTCATCTATATATGAAACTCCAGCTCCATCTCTAACTCTTAGATCAGGATCTTCTCCTTGCAATTCTTCATGTTTCTGGCATGGCATTTGTTCGCTTGCCTGCTTTGAAGCAGGCCCGCGTGCAGGGCCGTTCAGCCTCGCACTGCTTCTGACGCATCCGAATCTTGCAGGTGCCATGATCTGCCACGCAAGGAGTGCGGAATATCAGGAGGGGCCACTTTTGCCTAAATCTCATTGGAGGAGCAAACAGCACGTGGGCACAGATGCTGGGAATTAAGCAGTGTGACAGGCAGCATTGTCCTCGCCCTGGATCAAACATCTTAGCCGTAGCCGGTCGTAGGCTTTTGCAGAAGCCCGAGCGTGCAACAAGGAGAGAAGGCCAAAGGCTTGCAGCCACCAACCTCACAGAAGCGGACTGTACAGTTCACCACAGGAGGCTGCAAAGATGGGGCATGATTTCCACCCCCCCTCCCCCCCACCTGTCTCTTGTTTTCGTGGGGGCGGGGGGACGATACGGCGTTTTCTTCCTATTTCCTATTGGTCTAAACGGACGGGCGGGGGGAAGTTCAGCTTAGGAGGAAATCTATCATCATGGTAGGTTTATGTTGAATTTCTTCCTATTACAGCGGTCTTGCTTCTTCACTGTGAGGGATTTGTGTTACTTGGCGACATGGAAAGCTGCGTGGTGCGTCAGCAGCGCCCCACGCGCACGACATGTCGTACCCCCTATAGACCTACTCATTGAAAGCCTCCAGACAAGTTTGTTCCAAGGAAGGAAATTTTGCACCGCTTCAGACAGAACAGGTGTCAATGTCAAAAAGGGGATGCGTCACGTCATAGCAGATGCCTACTATGTAGGTGGTGCA